AGGCGGGACGCGGCGGCTCTCGGCGCCTGCGGCTCCCAGCACGAGTTGCGTTTTAAGCTTGTGGAAGGAACTCAAGTGGGCTGTAGGGTGACTTAGCCTTTACGCTGCTTCGGCATTCTCTCCTCAGCTTTTTTCTAAGAGCTCTGGAAAAAAGTCGGGCCGTATTGTGGGAGGTCGGGTAAAACTTCTTGCTCTCTAAACCCTCTTTTGTTCAGGGTTTGGTCTGCCGGCTAGCTTTGTGCCTTTGTTGCACTTTCTTGCGCTGAATGCCCGTGTCCCAGTGGGGCTCTGACGGATGAGATCTGGCAAGTCTTGCTGCAAAGACAAAATATCGCCCTGCCTTTCTGTCAGGTGATCGCGATCCAGCAGCAGAGCTGGCAGGAGATCATCCGTGCCTGCATCTCAGGACCTGTAACTCCTTTCGGTGTGCTACTTTAAGCCATGGATGAGAATATTACAAGTGTTATGCCAAGATAGCACTGCTGTCATCCAGTGGAGCTGGACCAGCTGTGGAGCTGGTACCTGTTCTGCTCTGCAGACTCTAATTTGGGAGTTGTGGCTGGGCTGAGTGAACCGCTGAGATGCAACAACTTAAATAACCGTAGTGCCCCTGAGTTAGAGCCCTGCACAAATAGCTCTTGCACCGCTGGGTCCCTTTGTCTCCTCTAGCATGTTGGTGTTGTCAGTGCTGCTCACCTGGGGGGAGATGGGAGCACCAAGGGGAGCGCTGAACACATCCTTATAAAATTATTATTAATGTCTCCTTCAGGCCTGAAATTCCTCTTGCTAGTCTTCTGTTCTGTTAAATGCTTCGCAAACCAGAGCAAAGGAAGAGACATGAAGAGTTGAATTTCACTGCCTTGTTTGGAACTGGGTGGAAATCCTGGAGATGGATCTCTTAGGAGACTGTCTTCCAATTGGGTTAGATGCACAGGTAACAGTAAAGGGACTTGTGGCTTTTTTGGTAAATCTGCTTCTACTTGCTGTATGTTTGCAAAGAGCTCTGAAATAGTGCTTTAGGGTTTATTGGGGTTTTTTTCTTCCACCATCTTTGTCCAGCTTTGTGCTGCAACAAAGCTAAGGAGTGTTTACTATGGGAGCTACAAAAGTCCTGCTTTAAACACTGACACCAGCAATGTTTCCTCTTTAGTAGTAGAATGAACTAATGCACTGACAGTGCATGTAGGCTTTCGAGTAAGAAGGGTAATGAAGTGACTGCGTTGCCAAGTTTGGGACATGTCTTAAGTTGAGCAGAGGGAAGAAATGAGAAGTTGAAAGGAAAGTTGGCCCTTACAGGGAGAAGTTACGGAGAGCTTCACAGAAATGGCTTTGCCAGCTCTTGAGTTTTGCAACCACTGGGGTTTCTTAAAAGTCTGGCCTTGCAGCCTTGTGATTACAAGAGCTTTTCTTCATCAATAACTAATAGATGGGAAAAAATGAATGGGGCATACCATAAAGTTCAAATACGGCAGACCAAAGCAAAGCAGACCCCAAAGAAGCTGACTGGCCATGGGGCAATTTGAAGGATTTGGGTTGCTTTTTAAAACAATGTCTTTTCAGTTTCTATGTGCTGAGGTCGGGGGTTGGCTCCCTCCTTGTGAACAGTTGTGGAATTGGAGCCGTGGGTGGACTCTTAGACACGTGTGAACTTTGTCTCCCTCTGGCCCAGCACTCGAGGACTTTCCACAAAGCCCTGACCTTCACCACTGAGTCACTCGCCTCTCCTGCCCATGCAGATGGGCAGCGTTGGGAGGGAGGGAGGCAGGCAGGCGTGGAAAAAAGAGCTGTGTTTCATTGTTGGAACAGAAGGCATTCTCTCCTGGACAACGTTCTTCTTGTGTCTTAGCTGTTCCCTCAAATGTCCCTTTATTGCAGGAGCAATGGATCGCCCCAGCTACCTGGAAGAGGACTATTCTAGCCTGGATGGGCTGGACGATGACGTGTTTCACTCTGATGACTTTGGACTTGCAGGTCAGCCTGGTGAGATGACTGCAACTGGCATTTTCACACAGAACCAGTCCTACAGCTGCCTTCTGGGGAGGTTTCAACTATTCCCCCTCACACACTGCTGTGGTCCCGGTATCAGGCATCCTGAGCAGCAGGACAAGGCAACTCAAACACTCAGCCCGTCCTCTTCCAGTCAGGATGTTATGTTGCCTTGTGGAGTCACTGAAGAGCCCCGGAGACTCTTCTATGGTAAGAGCACTCCAGTGTCACCAGCTTTACAGCGAGGAAACTGTCCCTTTAGCGCTTCCCCAATCAAGCAAGGTTTCTTTCATTAGGGCGTTGTATTAAAGGACTAAAAACTATTTTGCTTAGGTCCTACTCCCTCAGGAAAGACAGCTTGTATTTTCTTACCCTTGCTTGTCCACTACAGGAACGAGGCACTTGCTCATTGCTTCTGCTGTCCTTGATATTCCCACTCTTTTTCTTTTTGGCTTTATTCTGTCATGTTTTATTTTACTGCTAGATGTTTAAGTGCTCACCGTACCTTGTATCCTACGATTTGTCTACATTTTTTAACTTCTAGTGCTGTCTCATCCACATAGGAATGCTCCTAGAAGTTTTCAGTGGAGAGAGGGAAATGCAAAAATTTACACTTGGTGGGACAGCTTTTAGGCTCTTTACTGGAGTTGAAGTTGTTGAATAAGTAGCATGTTCGTCCATCCAGTATTTTACTAGTAACTGATGGGACACCACTCAGCTTTGTGTATCTGATTCAGCTTTAATTCAAATCAGTCCCACTGAATGCCAGAGAACTCAGAAAAGTCTGACGGAAAAGATACAGCAACCTTTAGTGGGAGACAACTGGAAGCAGAGATCTTGTAAAACTGCAAAATTTTCATTAAAAAAAAAAAAATCAGCACTTGGTTGAACTATAAACAAGCAAAAGGAACCAAGTGTAAGATCCTGCCAGTCATTTGATTATGGGAAGCAACACAATGCTCTGCTTAATCGATATAAATCTACTTAAAAGCTGAGCAAATGTTTTACTGCATGTTTACGGTACACAGTCATTGTTTGGGCTTCAGGAACTGGACTTTAACATGAGTCAAAAATTTAGGATTATGTGCAGCTCTTTCCTCCGTAAAGTGTACTGAGTAGAACAGCTATTCTTTGCACTGGAAGAATGACTCTTCTGATCTCTGTTTTGCAGGGAATGCTGGCTACCGTTTACATGTCCCTCCAGTTGGCTTTGCGTTGGATCCGCACCTCCAAGAGGAGCCTCCGGAAGGTCAGCGGGAAGTGCGTGCCGAGGTGCAGATTGCACGGAAGTTGCAGTGCATTGCCGACCAGTTCCACCGGCTCCACATACAGAGGGTAGGGTGTCTCTGGAGGGGAAGGCGGGGGTTTAGCTACCCAAGAGTGGTGCTCTAGAAGACTGGCTCCAGGCATCAGCTAAGCGGGCTGTTGTCTAAGGCAGCAGACTGCCAGCAGCGATAAAATGGCAGCAATATCCTGATGGATTTTGCTTATGCTAGATTGCTGGCTCTTCCTAAAGATTGGCAGGTGGAGGGAAGAGAATGTGTGGGATTGTATTTACTGCCTGGGAAGGTAGCTGTTCTGCATTAGCTGCTGCTATTCCAGCTCTTCCAGTTCATCAGCAACAGGGTCACTGAGGCTTTCTCCAGGGATCTCCCCCTTGCTTTTTATTACAGCTTTTACCCTTCTCCACTCTCCTCACCACCAGCGTCTTCTCTTCTGTGGCACAAGTTGCCATCGGTGGCTTATATCAGCTCCTCACCTTGGAGATGACAACAAGCCTGGAGTCTGTTCTGACACTCCTTGTTGTCTAGGGGTAGTTGTCTGAAATGTTGTGGAGTATATTTAGATCACGCTAGACTTGCTAGCAACTCCTTTGTCAGACAGTCCTAGCTAGTGTCTCAGACTTGTGACTAACTTCCTCACAACAAAAGACAGCTGTTAGATGCCATCAGGTCTGAAAACCACACTCCAGAATCTTGATTTTGTTTTCTTTAAAAAAAAAAAAAAAAAAAGAAGAAACCCTGCTCTGCAAAGAAATGAAATAAAACCAGCACCCCTAAAAACCCTGATTCTTTTTTCCTTGCCCTCCTTCCCCTGTTGAGTAGGGGTGAAATGGAAATCCCAGCCCATGCAGAGTTTGGCAGAGGTGGCAGAGGTTTGGCAGTAGGCAGCACTTCGCCACTTCTGTGCAAGCCCAACACGGAGAGTGTGTATCCGCTTGCATATGAAGAAGCTGACACTCTTGCCGACTTCAGAGAGGGACAGAAAGCTTATCTCACTCCAAATGAGTTGGTGTTCTGTTAACTGTGGGATCTGTTGCAATTCTTCTCAAAGGTAAGTGAAAAAGAAGAACCTGCTCTGCAAAGAAATGAAATAAAACCAGCACCCCTAAAAACCCTGATTCTTTTTTCCTTGCCCTCCTTCCCCTGTTGAGTAGGGGTGAAATGGAAATCCCAGCCCATGCAGAGTTTGGCAGAGGTGGCAGAGGTTTGGCAGTAGGCAGCACTTCGCCACTTCTGTGCAAGCCCAACACGGAGAGTGTGTATCCGCTTGCATATGAAGAAGCTGACACTCTTGCCGACTTCAGAGAGGGACAGAAAGCTTATCTCACTCCAAATGAGTTGGTGTTCTGTTAACTGTGGGATCTGTTGCAATTCTTCTCAAAGGTAAGTGAGGATCTCTGTCCTGGTTAGAGAATGTGGCTGGGCAAAGATTTGGTCCTCTCTGTGTCATGAGAGAGATGAGGGAATTCTGGGACTCTTCATCTCCAAATAGCAGGAGGATTAACAAAGCTGTAACAGGAAGATTAGCCTGTAGAAATGTGGAAGGGGCTATGAATGTCATTTAGCAAATTGCAGGAATAACGAGCTACCACGAGATTTTTAACGTGTTGTGTGTGGTTGAATGGGGTTTTCCTCAGCGCCACCTCTTCGCCAGCGATAGCTGAAGACCCCACTCTCTTTAGCCAGATTCTCACAGGAAAGGGAAGGTTAACCATCTCGTGGAGGAGCCCTGGAGTGAAGTGGTGGAACTGGTTGTAACTTGACCCCTTTCATCTCCGGGAGCGTACCTATCTGATGTCTGTGCCTTGGAAACGCATCCAGGAATGCCCACCCAAGCCGGCCCCGCTAAAGCTGCCGTGGGTCGTGGGTCGGGCTCTTTGCTGCCCCGTGGCCCGTGGCGAGCTGCCAGCCGCGGGTGCTGCGGGGGCTCCCAGTGCCACGCACAGGACCGCAGCCAGGGCTGCCGGCCCAGGCGAGCTGCCTGTCAGCCAAGCATGTGGGAGAGTTAGTAAACAAAAGCGTCCGCCTGCGCTACCCGACAACGGCGCAGCCAGCAGAGGAGGAGCTCTGCTGTCTTTGTTTGAACTGGAAGAGCAACAAGTTGTAAAGGGGGGGGAGAGCTGTTCAGCCATTTAATTTTGAAAACAAAACAGAAAAAAACCCAACCCGAAAACTTAACCCGAGGACGGAATAGTTCAGCCAGTGGTTCTCCACAGCCTGACCCTGGGATAGGCCTTGGCATTTGGATCTGTTAAGGGATTCTTTCTTGTTTGTCAGGAAAACTGAGTGCTGAGCCACATATTAGTGTCCAAGGCACTGTTCCCCGTGGAGTGTTTTGTTGTCATGCCCAATCCTTTCCCTCCCATCCCTGCATGGAGGATTTCCTTTGGCTTTTTGCACAGATCTCCTATGCAGAAGCCCCTCTGTCCTGTGTGCAATGACCCTTCCCAGCCTGTTGCTGAAGAAGCAAGCAGTCTGCCCCTGGAGACACGTGAACTGGTTCACAACGTGTTGTGGTTTGGAAGGGGCAGTCTCCAAGATGTGGAAAACTGGGCTGTCGTTTATCTTGCTGTGAAACTAATCCCTGATTTGGATGCCCCATCCCAGCTTGTCTCAAACATTTGGTCAAAACCAACTTTCCAGAGTGGTGTCTTGAATCAGATTTAGAATACCACAAAGTTAGTCACACCAGTGTGGTCTTGTGAAGTCCTGAGAGAGAGCAAGCCTGGTTTTCAACAAGCTGTGCCTCTTTTTGGAGCCTACAAAACGTCTTATCTGTGAACATGTGAAAAGAAAACATATGTGCCCTTTCAGTGGGAGTTAGGAAAAGCTTTCAGTATTGGAGTAGTGCATCCAGCTAACTCAAGAGTTGCCCTCTCATGGCTCTTGAGTTCTGCGAAATTCTCCAGCAGTTCAAGTATGGCTCCCATTCTGCTGCTGCAGCAGCAAGGCTGTGTTGACACAAAGGCCGCTGGTTAGTGTACATCCCTGGCTGAGAGAGGAACAGAGCAGGCAATAGCTGCTGAGGCTGACGTCACTGAGTTGTCATTGGACTCAGCTGCGTGCACGGTCTAACCCCATCCCACACTGGGAACCCTGGAGAGTCACTGTTATCTCTTCCCTGGGCTCCCGGAGCTATGTGGTATTTATTCTGTGGTTCTTGGCTATACAAAAGATTTTTGGGTATGCATCTCATAAGAATAAGAAAGTTGGCCACACCTATGCTTGCTTTTGGCATGTACACCATTGTCAGGGTTTCATTTCCTATTAATATATTAAACAGAATACAGTAGTTTAAACCCTGGCTTTTTCATCCTTAGAACAGTGCTAGAGCAATAATGCAACATTCCCTAGCACTCTGCAGCTTTCATTTCCTTACGATGCTGAATTTATTATAGGAAGGACTTGAGCAACGCTCTGTGTTCCTAAGCAGCAGAGCCTGCTACAGGTCGATCCAGTTTGCAGAGGGCTCTGCAGAATGACATGCAAGACCCATCTATGTTTTCTCAAGCTCTTTAGTACCTCTTACCTGTCTGAGGCTGTGTAGCTTCTGGCAATGTTCCCTCTGTTGTGCTTTTCTCACCCTGCCCCTGGAAAACAAAGGTAGAGCCAAGCCACGCTTTCTGCAGGAGAACCCAGTACTTGCCACCTCCTTCTTGGTTTGGAGCAAGTGTGCCTTTGCCATGGGATCTGTGAACTGTTTGCTGTAGCCCAGCCTGTGGCTGAGCTTAAAGAGTGCACTCTGAGGTTATGGAGAACAGACCTGAGCTTAGGGGATCTGCTGGTTGGTTGGCTGGGATGCGCTGCCTGCACCCCACATGTCCAGGCCATGGCAACAAGTGTTTGGGCTCTGCTTTAGGTCCTGAGTGCACTTGAGCTCCCTCGCCTTGAGAAGGAGCTTCGACCCATGTTGAACTGACAGTGTATTTCACGACATGACGTGCTGCTAGATGGGATGGGAGTAGACAACCAGGGATGGCGGCAGCAGCAGCGTAAAGCCGCCCCATAGGAGCATGGGGTTATACAAGAGTGGGGTGGATGACACTGTATATCAGTATCACACCCCTTTGGTTTGACTTGCTCCATTGAGACACTGGAACGCTATGGCTTTTTCCAAATAAAATAACTCTTTCTAAGCAGGCTGCAGCTTTGAGGAGACTGCTTTTATCGCATCTCTTCTTCATGGTGATAAGATCACTTCACAGGGGATAAAATTGTCTCTTTAAGAGCCAAGGAGTGGTAGCCTTGAAGAGTTCTGGGCTCGGGTCCAAGCAGAGCCACTGACTTGCTGTACGACCTCAGACAAGTCTCTTGACCTCCTTGTGCTTCAGTCAACCCATCTGGAAAGCTCGGTTTAAAAAAAACTGAGCCTCAATGAGAACCAGATGCTGAATCAGAGCTGAGCTTTCTTGAGTAAATAAGTGCATTACAAACAACAACAAAGCCCCTTTCCAACACATCAGGAATCCTGCAGTTGATTTAGATATGCTGACCGTGCTCAAAAAGCCTCCGTGGATCTAGCTACAGAAAACTTTGTTTCTCTAAATTCCCCAATTGGTTCAGCAAGTAACGCTCTCGCCGTCACTGCAATGGGCTTGAGCAGCCTGTGGAGCCTGAATGCCTGCATCCGCACCGGCTGTGGACAGATGGCATGTACCTGTTTGCCTCAAGTTAATGACACTGAAAATGTCCAGGAGGAAATGTTGTTTTCCTTTGAAAGTGAAACTTGTTCCGTTTTGCATATTTTTTCCCCTCTGTCTCTCATGAGAGTTATCGAGGCCTCCTCTGAGACACTTCTGCTTATGCAACAGGGAGCCCATGTCTCTTGTCGGAAACTTATCGGCGTGAGAGAGTGGGCGCACAGTGCTACACGTGCATCATTTATCCCAAACTCCATCAGGCTTTTCTCCATCGTTTAGTGAGGACACTCAGGGAATTTTTTAACAGTTGCTTTTTTAACTGGAATTGTTTGCAGGAAACTGTCCTTTATGATGACTTTACATTTTAGGAAAAACGTTCAGAAAAGCTTCCTAATAATGTAATGCAGAGACT